TGAAGGACTAAATCGTTAAACAAAAGAAGAATGTGTGAAATGCCGAAATTAATAACAATTTGTTTTGCGACGTTATTCTTTACAGGAACCCGGATTAAAATATGTCATGGTCAAGTGTAATAAATGTTCTCAATCACGTGTCAAAGTTGACGTTTTGATATCTAAATTGATTGCCCAGGATTTTTCATATTTTTTATCTTTATTACTATCACCGTACGTGTGAATATTACGCAAAACGTTAATTGTGTTTAAGAAACGAATTAATGCTAATTGGTGGTTATTATTGCGGGTCAAACCCATTTGTCATGATCATTAGTTTATTGTTGTATATAAAATGTTCTCATTTTGCTTCAACAGTAATCATAAATTTACTGTACTATAAATGGTATTATTGGTATTAACTGGTACTATAATAGTACTATAAAATTATATTCCTTAACTACGTAGCTTTTTATCTAGCAACCCAACGGTTAACCCAGTGGTTTCCAACCTGATTGAAGTAACCTATTTGAAGTCTGGGTAATATCAGTTAAGTATTTACAAAATTAAATTAAATTGAAAAAATTAAGGAAAAACAACATTTTTTTATTAGAGAAGGGGGTGCAAAAAAGGTTGGAAAACACTGGGTTTACCTACCTTTTTTTAACTATATACTGACTATCTGTAATTTGTAACAATGTTGGCAAAATACTTCTTTTACTTTATACTATATACTCAAATTGAACCGACATCATTACTGCTTGATGTCAGGATGTCCGAGGCAGCACTGAATCTAAACCTTTCCGTAGGAAAACAAATCTATTGCCACATAGTCTTTGATTAGGCCTATGTTCTTTTAACAAAATAATGTTTATTCTCTATAAAAAATCAAGTAGATGATAAATAAGTAGATTAAGGGTAAGTCAATAAATTTTTTTGAATTAACAATATACATTTGAATGGTTAATTTAATATATTTTTATATACATTGCAATCTGTCTTTTTTCGAAGGCATGAGACATTTTTTGAAAATACATAGTAATTTTTTTATTAGGTATCACTATGATTGCGCATGATGCTTATATTCTTATATATTTCAATTCAAATTAATATTTTTGAATCAATTTTTATCGCATTATTATGCGGAAAAGCGATCTTCACTTGAAAGCCATTTTTATCAGTGAAAATTGATATCCTTACTGCTTGATATCAAGAATCCTAAAGCATGTGTGGAATCCTAACTAGTGGTGTGTGGCATCGTGCCTTAAAGCAAATTGCTGGAACGTAATTACCAAATTAAAATTTTGAAAATTCGAATAATTTTCGATATTCAAAAAAAAATTTTTTTACAGATAAAAAAAAAATTGATTTTTTTTCAAAAACAATCGTTTTGTCAATACGAGCAGATTTCTTTTTTTGAATTTTTCAAATCGGATGCTTATTTCTCTCGAAAACTGCAATTTTTTGCACATTTATCTTCGTATCACCGAAACAGCTGAACCTGCCTTTGCCAGAAACTAATCACCTTCACTAATCAATTCAAATATGCAATTCAATGCACCTGTTCTCTTAAAAACTCGGTTTCTAGTATCTGCACTCTGTGCTCCGTAACTCCAAAATGGCTGGACTAACTTTTGTTAAAAACTAATCACCATATCTCCATATCAATAGGAATCAAATGTTTTTTGAACCATTCAAAACAGTTGATTCTTGCGCCCGAAAATGTGGACGAAAAAATGCGGACATACAAAATACACACACACATCCATTTTTTATGAGGTATGCCAAAATGTTCAGAAACCTTCAAAACGTCGATTTTCGGCCCATTACTATAACTACCCTACGTGAAATTAAAAAATGATTTTTTTCAGGATTTTTTCAAAAGTGCCAAAATTTTCGCATGTATTTAAAATTTAAAAAAAATGTTAAAAAAAATCAAGAATTTTATATAAGGGACATAACTATGGGAAGTTAAAAATATTGCAACTTTAAAAACTAGACTAATGTTAAAAAATATTTTAAAACGGAAGTAGCACTAGAAGTAATGCTGATTTTATATCAAAAACCAGTATAAATAATTATATTAACAATAATTCAAACAATCTCATTTACCGATACAAATTATCTAAATGAACTCATAAACTAATTATTAATTTTACTGAACACTATGATTAAATACTGTCAACTTTTCTTAATAATTTTTTTAACGAGGAAGCATGATTCAAATAGATTGCCTACAGATACATTCATATAAAATTACTTGGACAAAAGATCATTGAATTGTAAAAAAAAGTCGACCTTCATAAAAACTGTCATATTGATTAATAGATCCCGGTAACCTTATAAAGTTTATTTTGAAATGCGTAATTATCAGAGGAAATATCTAAAAATTATATAGATCAGCTTTTGATCTTATTTGAATATAATACAAATATTCCTGCAGTAAAAACGTACTACCTGTTTCATATACCGCTAATTTGTATTTCATTTATCATAATCGCCCGCGGCATAGGCGGATCTCAAGGTCGTTTCGATCTCATGGTTGTTACATTACATTTGCGATTTCTTCCATACAAAAAGACAAGAAGGTAAAAGTTCGAAGCTTTTTTCCACTTTTATGATACAATTGTTTTATTGCTAGAATTAGTTCACTTAGATCATGATACCTAGATTTTCATATGAGGAGCGGTGCAAGTGGTAAGGCTTTGGCTTTGCAACTACAAGGTTTCGAGTTTAAATTTTTTCTTAAAAGTATAGATAACAAATACTTCTTAGTAGAATTAGGTCTTTGAGGCAATATTGGAAAAAGCTATATTATTCCAATTAGTAAAGGGCAATGGGTTCAAATAGCTATTAGTAAAAGTTATCACAATAAATATTTATCACGCCAAGTTAAAGAAGACCATTATTCTGTTGGAACTGTAATATGCTGTTGGAAAAAAAAAACTAGTGGTGTAGTGGTTAAGGCAAATTGCTGGAACTTCTTGAATCTTAATGGAATCGAAGAAAATAAAATGTTGTTAAATAGATTATTATAAATAATGTAACTTTCATTTTTATTATTATATAAAAATTAAATAAACAACACTTAATCAATCGGATTTAAAATAAAAAACATTGTCTAATATTTATAAGTATTATAAACTGAATTGCAAAGTTAAAGTTATTTATTTCAAGTATATAAGTGATGTTTAGAACTTTAGCTAGAATTAGAATTAAAATCCAAATTTATTAAAATTATTTTTTTTTGAAAATTAAAAAAAAGAAAATAAACAAAAATTATTCCCTCAAAAGCAATCGTTTTGTCAAAACAAGCAGACATTCTTTTAAATAGTCATTTTTTCAAGCAGACATTTTTTTAAATCGGATGCTTAGATCTTTCAAAAACCACAATTTTTTGCACATTTGGCTCTATATCTCCGAAACGGCTTTTGCCAAAATCTAATCACTACTTCTCCGCATCATTACGAATCGAATGTTTTTTGCATCATTCAAATCAGTTGATCCGTTCTCTTAAAAACTGATATTTTGAGCACGTTTTGCTTCATATCTTCAAAGCCGCTGGACCTATCTTTGTCAAAAACAAATCAACACGTCTCCTCTTCAATAGGAATCGAATGTTTTTCGAACCCTTCAAATCGGATAATCCGTACGCCTGAAATCGCCGACGAAAAATTGTCTTCACACATACACACACATCTATTTTTTCTGAGGTATGCTAAAATGTTCAGAAACCTCTGACACTCTTTTTCATTTTTGATTTTTGGCTCATTACTAGCTTCCCTTACTGGAAGTTAATAAATACATAATTCTTGTTTCTTCTTTCAAAATAATAAATTATCATTTGCGTTTTTACATTATGCAACTTTCATAATAATTAATGATTACTTGCAAAATTTATTTGTCCGCCATATAATAATTTCAGGGCTTTTCTTGAAAATAAAATTGATCAAAAATAATTTTACTATTTTTAATTGATGCTATTTTTAATTCATAATTCTAATCAATTAAATTATGATCAGATATGATTTTTCAATATGAGAAAGAAGTAAGTGTGTAATGTGAAGCTTTCAAAGTTTTCATACTGAAATTTCATTCAATAATGCAATTTTCCGGGCATATCTTAACTGTATAGTACATTTATAAAGATATAAGGCTGTATTAAATGGATGAGTATCATTTTCAATACGATAGAACCGATTGAAACTTTCAGGTATTATTATTCTACCCTAGGTATGATAATATGCTAAGACAGCCAAAAACGTCTTCTGAAAACCTGAAGCAATATTACAATACGTATACGCATTCAATTCATTGCAATTAATTATACTTCATGTCAAGTCAGTGTGATAATTTGTCGTAAAACATTATTTACAATGATCGAACATCGGTTAAATCGACATGCAAAAAATCGGTTTATCAAGAGTTTCCACAAAAAGATTAAATACTATGTTTTGCCGATGGAAATACGGCCAGAGTTGTATATTTGCAGTATAGTAATTGAAATGCAGATGGTTCTACAAACTTTTAAGAGCAAAACTTTTCCGAATATTTGGAATAATTTCTATTAAAAATAGCAAAATTAATTACATGTTACACAATTTGTTTGAAACAAAATTGCGAACAATTCTTTTCTATTTAGAAAAGATGCCACATTTAATAATTCCAGATTGTATATATTGAAAAAATTTCATCATTTCGCAAGATTTAAAGTTTGTTATTTGATTTTTATTGAAAATCATATCTTTTTAATGCAGATATTTTAAAATTTATTGATAGATAAAATATGGTCAATATAAATTGTATTAATTGACTTCTTTATTAAGATTGATTATAAGGAGCCGTTGAACATTATGCAAATTTGAACATGGTGTATGAACTATATTTGTGTGGTTGTTGATAATGAATATTTAATATGTAATGTCACTGATATCGGACTGGCGATTCGCATATAAAAGACTTGTTCGCCCCAAAGTTGACATGAATTAAATTTCGTTCTTCATTCAAGAAACATCACAGCAATGGCATTCAAGGTGGGTTTATATGTGGATAAATTAATATTTGTTATTAAATTTAGTTAATGACAATTGATTTTGAGAAAAAATTGATTTTTGTTATCAATTAAGATCTTTATAATTGATTGATTGATAAATTACGCACAGAATTAAATTAAGTTGTTTGTTTTTAGCTTTTTGTTTTCGCCGCCGTATTGGCCGTAGCACGTGCTGGAGTATTGACAGCTCCAGAAGTACACAGCTACTCCACAAGCTACTCAGCACCATTAGCTTATGCCGCTGCTCCAGTCGTCGCCAAGGCTCATTTGGCATATGCTGCTCCTGCTCAATATGCCTACGCCGCACCTGCTCACTATGCTACCCCAGTTGTAGCTAAAGCTGTAGCACCAGTCACTTATGCCGCCGCTGCACCAGTTGTCACTAAAACCGTAGCACCTGTTACCTACGCCGCCGCTGCCCCAGTTGTCAAGACCGTAGTTGATGGACCAGCTGAATACAGTTTTGGATACTCCGTACAAGATTCTCTGACTGGAGACTCAAAAAGCCAACACGAAACCCGTCTTGGTGACTCTGTATCCGGATCATACTCCTTAGTCGATGCTGATGGCCACAAACGTACCGTAGACTACACCGCTGACGCCGTTAACGGATTCAACGCTGTTGTTCGTCGTGAACCTCTTGTACCAGTTGTAGCTAAAGTAGCTGCTCCAGTTGTAGCTAAAGTAGCAACTCCAGTCGTTGCCGCCCCAGTGGTAGCCAAGACCGTAGCCGCCCCAGTAGCTTATGCTGCCCCAGCTCCAGTTGCATACTCCGCCCCAGTATCATACGCTGCTGCTCCAGTAGCCTACGCTGCTGCTCCAGTAGTAACCAAATCCTATGCCGCTCCAGTGCAATACACCACCTACGCTGCTGCTTCTCCAGTTGTAGCAAAAACTTTTGCTCCAGTAGCTTACGCTGCTCCAGTCCATTATGCCTCTGCTCACTACGCAGCTGCTCCAGTTGTTGCCAAAACCTTAGCTTACGCCAGTCCCGTCCATCACGCCACCACTACCTACCATCACTAGATTTGACATACGATCTTAGAATGAAATTTGTAAAGAATAAAAGTATATAACACATAATATTCTTTAATTTATCATAAAAAAGCGTTGAAATATGCTTTCTTTCATTTCAGTATTTATTCAAAAAAATCATGGCATTTTTTTTAATGCATGATGTTCATTGTCTGTAAAATCAAATCAAATTCATGAAATCATATAATAAGGTGATTTATCACATTCTTTACTCTAACTTATACAATTTCTCGGAATTATATGTGTAACCTACATAAAAAAGCGGTTAACTAACTTATTTAATTACATAAATTGAACGACGCTCGTTAATGACCTTGTCAGCATGCCAACAGATGTGAAATAATATCAAAGTTATTACATTGATGTCTGCCAGAACTCAACACGCGTTGGCCACGTTTTGTTCGAATTGTTTTGGATTACGATACCGAAAATCACTTTCACGTTTTTTTACTTGTGTCCGACTGGTTCAGTATTATTATTTCATCGGGCGTTCTGTTACTTTTTTCGGTAAGGCCGTCCATGCACGTACCAATTTGGCGTAACCGGTGTGACGAACATTTTGGAGTAACGAATATAAAATAAACAGAACAAATTTGATGTGCATAATATTTTTACCCAAATTTTAGTAATAAATTTTACTTGATTAAATACAATAATATTTTACAACTAGCTGTAAGTGGAATTCTGTCTTAAGTCAATTAAGGCATCGTGCCTTAAGGCAAATTGCTGGAACTTCCCGTACCAAAAATAATTTGACTTCAAAAATTAGAGAGAAACTATAAATTTGACAAAAAATTACTTTTTTTGAAAAAAAAAATTTTTTTTTGAAAACAAAATTTTTTGGAAAAAATGTTTTTTTCATTTTGACATACTTTGGAAATTCTGAACTGTTTTTCAAAGCAATCGTAGTGCTTTATCTGCATAGAGACAAAATGTCAAAGCGCGCAACTGCCGCGCCGCCGTCTAACGGATAAGCATTGGTACGGAACCCATAAAAATGTAAAAAAAAATTATACTTATTGTTAAAATCTTTATAAAATATCTGATAATTTGATGTCTAATGATCATTTTTGACCGCCAACTGGCATTTTTTTTTACTTTTATCATTAGATCTCCGAAACCGCTAGACCTGCCTTCATGAAAACTTGATCAATTCTTCATCTTGTCAATACAAGTAAAATGTTTTTTGAATTATTAAAATCGGACGCTCCGTTCTCTTAAAAACTGAGTTACCGTTTTCGGCACTTTTTGCCCCGTATCTTTGGAACGGCTGGACCTGCCTTCGCCAAAAACTAATCAGCACGTCTCCTTATCAATACGAATCGAATGCTTTTTGAATTATTCAAATCGGTTGATCCGTGTTCCCGAAATCGTCGACGAAAATTTGTATCCGCACATACATACACACACGCACATACATACATACATACATACACACACACACACACACACACATACATACATCCATTTTTTCTAAGGTATGCCAAAATGTTCAGAAACCTCTGAAACGTAAAGATATATAAAAATTTTCATTTTCGATTTTTTTGCGATTACTATAACTTGCCCTACGGGAAGTTAATAACCATGTACTTTGCTTGTTTCATAAATACTGCTCAGGTTATAACCAAAATTTTGAATAATCCACAGTTAATGAATTATCGATAAATAATCCACATTTATCAAACTATTAAACTATTTATTAACTTCCCGTTAAGGTAAGTTATTGTAATGGGCCGAAAATCGGAATTGAAAATTTTTACATTTCTCGACGTTTTGAAGGTTTCTGAACATTTTGGCATACCTCAGAAAAAATGGATGTGTGTGTGTGTATGTATGGATACAAAATTCCAGTCACGTTTTAGGGCGCACGGATCGACCGATTCGAATGGTTCAAAAAACATTCGATTCCTATTGATAGGGAAAAGAGCTGATTAGTTTTTGGCAAAGGCAGGTCCAGCCGTTTCGGAGATACGGAGCAAAGAGTGCAGAAAATAAAAATCGAAATTTAGAGAGAACGGAGTATCCGATTTGAATGGTCTAAAAACATTCAATTAGTAATGATTGGGAGAAGTGTTTATTAATTTTTGGCAAAGGCAGGCCCAGTCATTTTGAAGATACGGAGCTAAATATGTAAAAAATGGCAGTTTTTGAGAGAACTAAGTGTCCGATTTAAATGATTTAAAGAACTTTCTGCTTGTCTTAACAAAATAATTGATTTTGGAATAACAAAATTTTTCCATTTTATTTTTTTATTTTTTTGTATATCGAAAATATTTCAGATTTTATTTTTAATTCTGACTATAGTTCTAATTCTACCTCTGCAATTCAGTTTATATAATTCTTATAAATATTAGACAATGTTACAATATTTATAATAATCTATTTGAAAACATTCAGTATTCCTCGAACATTTCGTTACGGTACGAGAAGTTCCAGCAATTTGCCTTAAGGCACAATGCCATAAATGCCTCAAGACAGAATTCCACTTACAGCTAGTTAAATTTTAAGTTTTTTGAGATTGAATTATTTAGGGAAACCAGTAATTCGATCAAGGTGAGGTTTTGTGCATTTTATTTCTATAATTTTAACATAAATTTTACTTAAATTTTACTGTCTCTCATTTCACCCTAATTTGACTTTGAAATGTCCCTCAAGAAAAATACGGTTGACATGATTTAGGTAATGAAAGTCGCCTGAAACAAGAAAACCAAAATGATTTAGTTTTTTTATGACTTTGGCTATCAAACAAGTTAAATGCAAAAAATCGCCTCTAGATTGCAATATTGGTTTCGCTACAATTTATTCTCGAAAAACAGTATCAAACTTAAACTTTTCGGAAAGTTAAAAAAGCTTTAGAGAAAATGCTGATTGCAATTTTATAAATGCAACATTCTACTTTCACTTTTGGGATTTTAGAATATATCTCAATACTTTCTAGAACATATCTAGAAAATACATGAAATTTAAACTTTTAAATTTATTTTAAAGCTAAAAATAATTTAGTAGTAACCTCGATATAAGGGTATTGCTGGAATTTTAATAAAAATAATCAATTGCGTCACGTTCTAATTTGTTTTGTAAATTACCCTAGTCTATTATCAATCATAGAGGGAAGTCTCCAAGTAGCACTTGGAGACTTCACCCTACTGTTGGTTATTATAATATTGAAATATATTTATCAAATTATAGAGCTCCGAAAATAATTATAGCCCACCATATAGTAATGCCAAGAAAAGCATAATTTATACAATAAATCACTTATTAATTCATATATTGAGAAATAGTCTCTTTAAAAATCACCTCAAATGGTACACTATCCTATGCCTTTTCTGACTTGACTCTGAATAATAAATGTACTTGTATCATTATAGCCTGACCTACATACTCGAAATGTAAATATACCAGTAAACAATACACCTCCTGACATTTGTTTTACCTAATGATACACTACCTTCTGTCTTTTATGACCTGGGCAAATCAATTCTAAATATTATTTTAAGAGGAAATGAATATAATTATTAATGGAAAATAAAAATAGTATTACATAACTTAGATCCAGAATTAGTGACTTTTTCAAGCCTGGTTCATTTCAAATGGTAAACTGCTGCAGCTTTTTTTGTCTTGGTCAAAAAAGTCTAAATATTCTTCAAAAAAAAAATGTTTGTCATTATAATCAGGTCATCATTAGACACAAATCAATTAGCAAATTTTTATTTTTGTAAAACTCCTATCAACATTTTTGGATTCGAAACTTCAAGCGTGGAACACTTCAAATGGTACACTACGTTATGCCTTTCTGACTTGGGTGTATCAAGTCTAAATATACTTCTGAAAAAAAAAATTTTTATTACTATTCTCTGATCTGGTTTATCATTATATTTCTGCTATTTTGTGACAAAATTTTAATTCTCTTGGATTCACTATTATTGGCATCATTGGGCACTGAGTGGGCGGCAAACCTGGATTTCTGGTGATGGAAATAGTTTTCACCAAAATGTTCCCCATCTCTGCCAAGATCGGTGAGGTATGTGCGTATTGTATAACTGTAACACATGCGCGAGGAGATAACTATCTTCTAATACATGTTGTCTTGAAGGCAACGTCGGTTCTCGCCTTTTTTGTACCCGTTCTGTACATGATCCCGTGTGTCATAATTTCGTTATTGGAGAATTGGACATTCCGCATGGCAAGGTTGCGCGGACAAAGATTTGTTAATTTCGAATTAATCGTAATCGTAAGGCGCGTTTATAACAATGTGCCAAATTGAAGAGTGATTTTTATTAATGATCCGCGTTTGTCGAATGTGCAGATGTTTGCGAAATATTTAATCTGCAGCTGTCCAGGCCGCCTTAAAGTGATTGCAAAGGAGTTCTCATTTTGAGTTACATCAATTTCGATTTGTTTTAAAACAAAACAAAATGATATAAGGAATGATGCAATTGTAAATATATGGTGCATTTTGTGAAATGTAAATTAGTGCACTCTTTTGCATAAATTTGCACATCAACGTTTTCTTAACTTCACGAAGCAGAATTTTATATTTTATAATTGTTATTGGAATTAATTCTGATTTTTATATTCAAGTACCTGCAAATATTCAATTAAGTTGATACTTTTCAAAAACCCGGGACAATCCGAGATAAAAGATCCAAATCCGGGACACAAGGTGGAAATCCGGAACTGTCAAGGCCAAACCGGGACGTATGATCACCTCAAAATAAAAAAAAATAAAAATTGGTATTTGATTCAAACTAATGCGGAAGTTTTTGCTGAATTTTCACAATCTGGTCATATATCATATTTTTTTATTTTTTTTTATTTTATTTGTATATACTATTTCAAAAGTTAATTTTGTTTATGTCGGTATGAACAATATATGGAACACTTTCAATTTATTAAAATTCTCAAATATAGCAAATATTAAATTTGAATTTTCTCTAATATAACTACCGTATCATTTTATAATTAATATTTATCATCATTGTATATGTACACAGATATACATACAATGTACTTGATTATTTTATTTATTAGTAATTTTCTGATTATTTGTTAATTTGCAAATTTTCTGGTTATTTTTAATATCAATAATCATATTAGATATTAGATTGATCAAAAATTTATCATATATAATTAGATGAAAAAACTACCAAGCAATTTAAAAGATTTTAGTTGATTGATTTTTAGACATACTTTGTTTGTTTGAAAGTAGCATTGATTAGACAGTAAAATTTGACCACATATTCACGGAAGTTTTATCAATCAAATTTTAAGTTTATAAATGGTAAAAGAAAAATATGTATAGGCTTGTCAATACTAATTATTCACAATTGTGAATAAAAATTAATAAATATTTATTTATCTATAAAGTGCTTCTGATTATGTATAAGTTTCTTAGTAAATCTTTTCACCATTTTTTGGTTTCATCATTTTATATTATGCAGTTTTATACATGTATGTAACATCGGTTAAATTTTCTATTAGATCGAGATTTTAGATGGTTATGTATGGTTTCAATTTTCTGAACAGAAAACCATTGTAAGTTATTCTATAAATTATTTATTTAATTTAATGAAGATATGGGATGTGCCCTACTAAAGGAACTATCTTCATCTTCAATTCATGAAGTATCTTGAGAAACCAAGTTTTTAATAGTTCCTTAAAATTAGCTTTAACAGTTCCTAAGGAATGAAATAAATATTTGTTCGAGAATAATAGTATGCTTCTAGCAAATAATTTTCTAGAATGATTTTGTGTCCTAAGACTAAGAAATGTGATATGTCCATCTTCAGGAACAATCTTCATCTTCAATTAAGAAACTATCTTGAGAGACCAAGCTTTTAATTATTTCTGAACAATTCCTGCAATGTAATTTTAACAGTTTCTGAAAAATTTCCAAAATGTAATTTTTGAGTAAAATGGTATGCTTTTAGTAGATAATTTTCTAGAACGATTTTGTGGACTATGACTAAGATAAAAGATATGTCCTTCTTCAGGACTATATGACTATCTTTATCTACAATTCAGAAAAAGGTTTTTAATAGTTCCTGAATAATTCTAGAAATGTAGTTTTAACAGTTCTTGAAAAATTTTCAAAACGTGGAATGAAAACTTAAATAAATATATTTTTGAGAATTTTTTTATGCTTTTAGTAGATAATTTTCTAGCATGGTTTTGTGGACTACGCCTAAGATATAGATATGTACAAGAACTATATTCATCTTCAATTCAGGAACCGCAAAAAATCTTGAGAAACAAAGTTTCTAATAATTTCTGAACAATTCCAAAAATGTAATTTTAGCAGTTTCTGTAGAATTTCCTAATCGTAGTATAAATTAAATAAATATTTTTTGAGAAAAATGATATGCTTTCAGCAGACAATTTTCTAATACAATTTGGTGGACTAAGACTAAGATATGTGATATGTCCTTCTTCAGGAACTATCTGGAGAAACCAAGTTTTTAATATTTCCTGAAATGTAATTTTAACTGTTCCTGAAGAATTTTCGAAATATTTTTTTGAGAAAAGTGGTGTGATTTTGCTGAATAAGTTTTTAGCAACACTTTTATGAATAGCAATAATTACTTGAGTTTAACCAAATTTCACTTATGATTCTCAAAATTAAAAATAGCTTATTCTAATAAGAACATGTAGAACTAGCAGTCGTAGTACATACTTTTAGTAATTTTTATTTGTCCATATAATTTTTAAACTTCCTTTTCATTGATGTGGAATTTCTGCATTTTGCAATCTATGATTCAATAAGCTCGTGCCAATTCATTACGTTAAATTAGTTCAATGGCATAGAGAGTACTATTGGTCATCTTTTGTTCTGCAGAAAGCACTTAATATTCTATACCCGTAGGTGTTGTACTAGATACCTATTTGATTCAATCGTTTTCAATGTAAATGCTCTTTACTGCCGTCGAAATGTTTAGACATACGTAGTAACCTAAGAGTTAGTAGTAGTAACAGTTGAAAAAAACAATAATAAAACTTATTGTTACTCTTAGATAATTGTTTTTTCTTTCTTATAGGTTTTGATAATTTGATATGTTGTAAACACCATTATAGAATTTTGAATCTATAACGCCCAATCAAAAAAAAAAGTCATGGCTACATAAGGTCGTTGCGATAACTATTGTTCGATTTAGATTAATATAAGACTTTTTTAATTTAATAACAATTTCCTGCTCCGACTCGTTCTTGGCGACTCTGCACTTTTTTATAATTGAGTTTCTGTTCCAATAAGTGATTAAAATTTTTATCTTTATTCCAATATAATTTTATGATATAGATTTTATTATATTGATTATGTATGCATCCTTGAGAGTAATTAAAAATCATTTCGATTTCGTCAGTAGAACTAAATTGTTTTACTCATTCAAATTGGAAGAAATGAAATGTGCTTGATGACAACTCAGTGATTTGTAATCATAATGAAAGTAAAATTAAGAATACTGTATACTCAATTTCAATCAATACAAGTTTCAAAAATGAAATTCCTTAAATGATTGTCATGGTTATAAATTTTTTTAGTATTTTTTTTTATTAAGACAATTTATTTAAATGAAAAGAAAAGACAATCAATTTTCGAGTTGGCATAAGACATTTGTATAAACAGTGCAAAATGTTTTACATAATATTTAAAAATTTTGGTTCAACGTAATGATTAAAGTAATAAAATTGCTGACAATAGCTCTATATGAAAATGACACGCTTTTCAAAAATGCGGAAGTTTTGTTGAAGTTTCAAAAATGCATAAGCATTTGGAGGACAAAAGGATTAAATTATATCTAGGCAAATGCAAAAATGGAAAACTCTAATCCAAAACCAATTATGAATTATATTTTTTTTTATTTTTTGCATTTTGCCTATTGGTTGAAAATATATTTATATATGAATATCATAGTATACGGCCAATTACTGAGAAGAAAATCTAAATTTGAGACTTTAACTAAAAGTTTTTATACGATAACCTAGTACATCGCACTGCAAACATTTAATGAATTTAAATACTACTTTTATATTGTAAATTGACATGATTTTTGAAAAAAAATACACTAGCTTAGGGTGAGAACAAATAAATCTGAATTGAAAAGATTATGAAATCATATCGGTAAATTTTCTAAAAATTACCTTGTGCATTATTTTCAATTCTAATAATAATTTAATTATATTAGTAATGAATTTATTATTGTAATGAATTTATGAAATAAAGAAATATTAAAATCTAAAGTTTAACTCTTTCTTTGCTTACATGTTTTTTTTTCAATAAATTTACTTTTTGATATTTCAACTTTTTAGTGTATCATTGAAACTCTTGGAGAAACGCCAAGATTTTTTTCAAATAGTAGCGTAAGGTGAATACTGACATTGAATAACTGCTTTATCTGATGCAATAAAACATTAAATTTCATTATAACAATAAGTCAGTCAATGATGAATGAAATAAATTGAATTCCTCATACAATATTCTCACAAAAATTTTACATAAGAATGTAATGATTGTTTGCCTATTTATACACAGGCATACACTCATTTATTAATTTAGTAATTTTCTCTAAATTATCCTAAAACATATGACACAAATTTAAATATAAATGTTAGTAAAACCTGCTTTAGCGATTACTGGTTTGTTTACAGGTTTAAATCTGGTTTAAAATTTTTTAAATGTCAATAAAATGAACAATTATTTAAATGATATTTTAAATTATAAGTGATAATGTACAAATAAATTGATCTTTGATTCGCGAAATATAATTCAATATTTAAAAAAAAAATTGATAACTTAAATATATTGAATTTCAGCATTGCCTTTACTATGAAGCTGAGAAACTAGTTTATAACTAATAATAACTATAATAAAGGCATTTTGCTTTATGTCAAAAACCATATTTGTAAGTAATCGACATTATCAATTCGAACTGGGATTGATCAACTTTTAAAATTGTGACGATCCATATTCCTAAAACTGGAGAATTTTTATAAATAAATCACTTTTCTTATGCTTCTAATATTTTTGAATGTTCTGTGAAACCATGAACTCTATCATAATAAAAAGTTTCAATAAAATCGCAAAAAAAATCTCGGCAATTAATTAGGAAGAAGCAGGCCGGTCGATCTCTACCAATAATTAATGAACTCTATGACAATAAAAAAAATTCAACAAAATCGCAACAAAAAATCTCGACAATTAATTAGGAAGAAGCAGACCGGTCAATCTTTACCAAAAAACTAATAAGAGCGAATTCCAACTGATATTCTTCAAACAATTTTAAAGTATTTTAAATCGGTTAAAGATTATAATGAAATTGTGACCAATATGATCCTACGGTTCACAACTAGGTGGTGGTCTACTACATCAAATATTGCAATTTTGCAGTTGTTCCAGAACACAATTTTTAGATAATAATTGCCCCTAATTTGCCTAATTAGCTGTTAGAACAAATTATGCATATATTGGAGAAGAGATAAACCAGTTCTGCATCAGGTGCAAGGTGCGGCTAAGTCAACATTCAAATCAACTGGTAATTGATCTGCTTAATCCTTTATCACCTAAATTAAAAAAAGTTGTAGTGAATTACTTCATGACATTAATGAAAATGAAAAGGATAGCATAGTTAATTTTTACCCGCCACCTTTTGAAATTGTCTATAATTATAGATTAATATATTTATTGTGTAGATCGCTATCCTAAATTAATTAAAACTAGTGGTGTATGCCATTGTGCCATAAGGCAATATGCTGGAACTTCCCGTACTTTTCAAATGTTTTCAAATGGGTTATTATAAATACTGTAACATTTTCTAATATTTATAAAAATTATATGGACTAAATTACAAAGTTAAAGTTATTTATTTGAAGTATATAAGTGAGCTTTAAAACTTTAGCCTAAATTAAAATTGAAATCTGAATTTTGTTCGATATATAAAGAAATTTTTTTTGCAAAAAAATTGAAATAATAAAAAAATCCAAAAACAATTGTTTTGCTAATACAAGCAAAATGTTTTTGGATCATTCAAATAGGATACTCCGTTTTCTTAAAATCCTGGTTTCTATATTCTGCAATCTTTGCTCCGTATATCTGTAACGGCTGGACCTGCCTTTACCAAAAACTAATCAGCACATCTCCCTATCAATTGGAATCGATTGCTTATTGAATTTTTCAAATGATCTCTTTCTATCCGTACGCCCGAAATCGTTGACAAAAAATTGTTTTCACATATACACACACACATACATTTTTTCTGAGGTATGCCTAAATGTTCAGAAACCTCTGAAACGTGAAGATATGCAAAAATTTTCATTTTTAATTTTCGGCCCATTACTATAACGTTCCCTACGGGAAGTTAATAAAAACATTTTGAAATATTGAGAAAACAAAATTAGCGAGTCTAATTTACAAGATTTCCAATTCAACACTACAAGACCAATGTAGTGTTAAATTTCGGAGTAACACTGAAAATTTATTACTAGAAATAAAAGTAATATTTTTAATGAGTAACTTTTAATACATAATGAGTAACTAAAATATCAATATGTCTACAATATGAAATTATTACGTAGGAACCACATGCCATCAACTCTCCTGATAAAAAATAATAACTTAATCATTATTTATAAGAAATTATTTAATAAGTAAATAGTTAAAATTATATAATTATCAATAAAATATTGTCTATAATCGAATAATATTGTTTTATATCGAATGAAAAAAAAACACTACTGAGTTGTTTTTTCCAACATGCCTTGTAGTATACAATGTCCCTTTTCGGCCGACTATTGTAAATTCATCAAATATATTGAATGTTCTTTACTGGACAGTTGTAAATAAAAGAGATAATTAAAAAAAATGTAGGAACCACGAAAAACTTGAATTTCTATATATTATTCTGCTCAAATAGACATCGTTTTACCAAGCTTCTTGTCAACAATATCTGATCCTCGGTGCATTGAAACATCCCGGCGCACACGATCACACGACGACAAAACCGGAAGAACTCCGGAACCAATTAAATCAACTTCGCTCCGTTAGTTTGTTCTTGGCGAAGAGATGAGCAGACTGCGACACACGACCACGTATATAATCAATGTTGTATCTTGTATCTATCTACATCTCTGATTAAACTGTACAGGTTCTCAAACATTAGGTACCTACTACACATATTAAGTGTTACAAAATTCAATATATACATTATTGCTGAATTTTTTAATCATACTTAACTTCCCGTAGTTACCCTGGGGGGTTATGATAATCGTAAAATAATCGAAAATGAAAATTTTTAATATCTTTATTTACGTTTCAAAGATTTCTAAACATTTTGGCATACCTTATAATTAGAGAAAATAGATGCGTATATGTGTGTGTTTTCGGATACAAATTTTCGACGACGATTTCGTGAACACGGATCAACCGATTTGAATAATTTAAAACTAGTAGGGCGCATGGCATCGTGCCTTAAAGCAAATTGCTGAAACTTCCCGTACTAGCGTCCAAAAATTTTTTTTTAAAAAAGATTACCATTTTTGAAGAAATATTACTTTGAAAAAAATAGATTTTTGAGAAACTATAAATTTTTCACAAAAATTTACTTTCTCTATTTTGAAATATTTTGGAAATTCTGAACTTTTTTTCAAAGCAATGGTACTGCTTTGCATAGAGACGTAACAAAAAAGCGCGTAAGTGCCGCGTCGCCGTCTAACGAATAAACATTGACACGGAACCAATAGAAATGTAAACTAAATTTATACTTATTGTTAAAATCTCTATAAAATATCTGATAATTTGATGTACGTATGTCTAATGATTGTTTTTGGCTGCCAAATGGCATTTTTTTTTACTTTTTTCACTAGATCTTCGAAACCGCAGGACCTGCTTTTATGAAATTTTGATCAATTCTTTATCTTGTCAATAAAAGTAAAATTATTTTTGGATAATTAAAATCGGACGCTCCGCTCTCTTAAAAACTGAGTTAATGTACTTTTCGCCCCGTTTCTTTGAAACGGTTAGACCTGCCTATGCCAAAAACTAGTCAGCACGTCACCTTATCAACAGCAATCGAATGTTTTTTGAATAATTGAAATCGATTAAACCGTGTTTCCGAAATCGTCGACGAAAATTTGTACCCGAACACACATCCATTTTTTTTAAAGGTAAATTTCATTTTCGATTTTTTTGCGATTAATCAATTACCCTACGGGAAGTTGATAACATTCAAATCGTATTGACGGTAACATGCTGATTTGTTTTTGGCAAAGCAAATATTTTATCTGTATTGGCAAAACAAAGAACTGACTAAATTTTTGCAAAAGCAGGTCCAGCGGTTTCGAAGATCCAATGAACAAAGTAGAAAAGGCCATTTTGCGGTCAAAAATGATCATTAGACATATGCACATCAAATAATCAGATTTTATAAAAATTTTAATAATAAGTAAAAATTCTGTTTATATTTCTATGGGTTCCGTAGCAACATTTACCAGTTAAACTGTCTCTAAAACAGCTACGCTGCACAATATAGGTTTGAAAAAAGTTCAAGATTTTCAATAAAATCATTTTTTTTTTAAATTCTCGAAAATCTAATTTTGTCCAAGTTTTCAAAAAGATGAAAAGCCTTCTAAAAAAATTAATTTTTTGTACGAAAAGTTCCAGCAATTTGCGTTAAGGCACGATATGCCATGCACTTCTAGTTTTATTATATTATTAACAACAATAATTATTCAATTGCTTGTTGTGACAACTTACGGTTAGCCTATAAGTTATTAGTAAAACAACGATATAATACTGATGACTTTTTATTGGATGCTTTCAATGCCCGTAAAGGAAATATTCACTTTTTGTTAAGAATATTTTATTAGTTATTGCCTTGTTAAAACATGATTTTGTTTCCAGATATACTTGCAATTTAATACACATTGTTGCCAAAAGGTTGTATAAACGTCGCACTTTTATATTTCACCTTATATTTCGGATTTAAATGATTAAAAAAGTGTATAGTTTTGAGAGTATTTAATTATAGTACGTTTTTTGTTTGATTTCACATATATTTTATTTTGCAATTTGCATATGTTTATATATAATATTATTATTTTTGAGTTAATTTAGGTTTATCAAAAATGTGTTTTTTCTTGTTTCAGATGCTCTGGCACAATGGCAGATATTGGTGAGTGCTTTAAAAAATATTGATACAAACCTTATTTGGAATGGGAATGACTTTTCTCGTAATCTATTTAAACAGTGTTGCATGCATAAAAAATTGAGATTTTTTTATATAAGGTTGTTTAAAAATTTTACGTTTCAGCTACAGTCAAACTTTTATTTAACGAAAAAATACGAAAGCTAATGAAAACACAACAAATAAAATAATAGAAACATGTTTTTATACAATATTATAAATCTTTATGAAATTTTGATTTAGACTCATTCACACAAATAGCAGATTTATTACTGCTATATTTGCAAAGATTTTAGAACTAAATATTATACTTATTTTTTTTTGTCTTCGTGTGTTTAAGTTTATTTTTTTTGCGTAGCTGAAGACAAATTAATTTATAATTTCATTCATCAAGTTATAATCTTTTTTTTGCTTATCATCCTATATTAAAAAAAATCAACAAATTTATCCGTAACTTCTTTCATGCAAATGACTAGCACTTCATCAACTCTAAAATACATAAAAATTATTCTATAATTTCTTTCATACAAATAAACAATGGATCAATTATATATTTATTGACAAAAAAATTTGATGATTGAATAAATTTTTGCATGATAAATATAATATTTAAAATATAATTTAGATTTGTTTTATTTTCAATACCTATTTGGCTTATATTATTCATTCACACACATACACTTTCAAACACACATATTTATTATTGTGATAAATTTTTTTATATCGATAGTTGGAGAATCACTTTAATGAGTGATTCACCAATTCTGTTAATTTCTACAAAGATGTAGTAGTGCTAAAGATCTTCAATATTATGTTTGGGATTCCTTTTCAGTATTCTTGAAATTGGTGTCTCAAGAAGCTGAGTGACTATTGAATGATGTTCCAGTTTTTGAAAATGTTGAACACTGTTTATTTTTATTGTTCTGTCTATAAAATCTATGTTAACCAAGTTTCTTATAAACCAAGAAGCATTAGTCTCAAATTTTAAGACTAAATTAATCTGTCGCAAATTTTTAGACTGGGCACGTTGCATTTACACAATGCTTGATTATCTCGGCCCCACAATTGCATGCCATAAGTCCATATTGATTTGATAACCACCTTATGAATGAATAGTTTATTATCAAGGGATAGAATTGATTTGCGTCCCAAAAGCCAGCGTAGTTCAGTAGTTCAATTTTTTATAGTTTCCAATTTTGCACAAATATGATCCTACCACGTCAGTTTACGTCATATTAGGAATATTTACAAAAAAATCCTTGACTTTTTATGTTAAACGACATATCTATGACTGCACCCTATCAATAATTTTGATCTGAGACGAGGAATGAAAAGCAATTGTACGTACGTAGTACATACATACTTATTGTATAGTGATCATTTGGGTTTTTTTAACAATCTATTTCTTTGTCCTTGAATTGAGATCGGTACAACATAGGAAGTACGTAGAACTATTCCGAACGATTGCATTCATAGCGGCCGCTAAAGAACTCCGCTTCCTGATAAAGTCTTGATAGATAGTAGATGCCGCTTTCGCATGGATTCGTAGCACTAATTGCTATTTACTACCATCAGTCAGTACCATTTGTATAGAGCGAACTTTTAAGTTCTGCTCCCTTTATGAAATACAAGCATGAACTTTACATTTCAGTTTATATGCAAGATTTCAGTGCATTTGTGACTTTGTCCATATATACCATATTCTTATTTTATTGAAAACATTTGATTTTCGAAAATACTTAAAATATTGTTTTTTTTTTTTTGTAGGTTTTGAATTTTCTTAAGATATTGATTTTTTTCTAATGAACGCCCCTCATAAAAATTTATATCTTAAATTCAAAATTTAAGATATTAAATATTTCAGCTAAATTTCTATAGGAGGCGTTCATTAATCACGTGATAAATTTTTTCAGGATTTTTCGACCTCCTGCCCACTTGGAGATACGTGGTGATAATCAAAATTACACTCCTTCCCCCCTAAACTTTGCATGTACCTACTTTCACTTACGAGAAAAAATTGTAAAATGTTTGATTTTATTTGAAAATGTTTGGATTTTTTTAAAAAAAATCCTCATAATAAATTAATACACGTGATATCTTACTGTAGCCCTCCCTGCCTCACACGATATTTTGTGTTTTGTGTCACCCCCTTCTTACACTAAAAACCTCACGGTATTGAATATTCTTAAAATACATCAGTTTTTTTGATCTTGTATTTTTTAAAAAAATTGGATTTTATTGAAACATTAGAATTTTCAAGGTATTGCATTTTCCTAAGATATTGAATTATTTAAAGATGTTATATTTTGTTTTAAAATTTTTCCAATTGTAAGATGTAAGAATTGAATTTTGTTATGATATTGAATATTGGATTTTCTAGAGATATTGGATTTTATTGGATTTTCTAGAGATATTGGTTTTACTTGAGGTATTGGATTTTATTGAGATATTGGACTTTCTTGAGATATAGGATTATCATGAGATATTGCATTTTCTTGAGATATTGAGTTTTCTTGAGATATTGAATTTTCTTGAGATATTGAATTTTCTTATGATATTATATTTTCTTAATATATTACATTTTCTCAAGATATTTAATTTGTTTAGAATATTGGATTCAATAATAATATTGAATATTATTATGACATTAGAATGTCTCAAGATATTCAATATAGTTAAGATATTAATTATTATTAGAATATTAAACTTTTTTAAGACATTAGATTTTCTTATGACGTTGGATTTTCTTAGCATATTGGATATTCTCAAGATATAAATTATTGACTACGATATCGATATCATACGATTTGGTTATGAAATTGTGTAACACCAGTTTTGTTGTTGTAGATATGCTTAGATAAAATGTGGGCGATGTTACAATTCAGGTACATATATGTTCGCATAAATTTTAATATTTATTGTGATAACATCTTAATGTTACATTATTGGAAGAAATGTTTTATCTCAAGTTTTAGAGATCTATCAGAAATAATGTATTAGGGCGTAGTCAGAAGTATAAAAATAGGATGACTAAGGCTACTAATAGCCTGACAAGGAAGTTGATAGATCAAAAGTATCACAAAGGAATTAAAAAAAATCATAATGACTTAGTTTAGGTCTACAAATATATAAACAACTATTTTATCTTTATCTATTTTCCTTATATCTATATAGTGCTATCATCATTATGAAAAATAACATCACTGAACATAGTAAGAGTTTTTTTTTTACTTTATAAACAATTGATTTGATATCTCATGTAGATAAATTATGAAACGAATAAACCAGTGTTTTGAAGCAATATGTTGGTATTATGTATATTTATTTCCTACATGAAATATTGCTATAGTTTAAATCAACTTTTAGCATAGCTTGCAATAATTAAATACTTTTAGTGTTTTACTAAGTTGTATGTTTTAGTACTAAGTTAAAAATACATAATTATTATGTAATTTGTCATAAATAAAATCACGTAGATACTAGTAGTTTTTAGTTTGGTTTTCAAAAATATAACAAAGAATAACTTATCCCAACATTTATTATAGGCTTGTTAGCTATTTGAATCTGTCGTCATTTGTACAAATTCGTATTTTCATCGACTTTTCTAATTGAATTTGCCTAAGTGTATACTTATAAAAATTATATAAACTGAATTGCAAAGTTAAAGTTATTTATTTAAAGTATATAGGTAAATCCAAACTTTGTAAATTTTTTTTTAAAACAATTGTTTCGTTAACACATGAAAGTTTTTTGAATCATTCAAATCGGATGCTTAGTTCTCTCAAAAACTGCCATTTTTTGTACATTTAGCTTTGTATCTCTGAAATGGCTGGGCTTGCCTTTGAAAACATATAATAACCACTTCTCCCCATCATTACGAATTGGATGTTTATTGAATCATTTTAATCGAATGCTCCGTTCTCTCAAAAACTCGATTTCTATTTTCTGCATTTTTTGCTCCGTATCTCGGAAACAGCTGGACCTGTCTTTGCCAAAAACTAATTAGCAAATTTCTCTATCAATAGAAATCGCATGTTTTTTGAACCATTAAAATCGGCTGATTCGTGCGCTCGAAAACGTGGACAAAAAATTGCGGACACACAGAACACACTCACACACACAAACACATACACACATCCATTTTTTCCAAGGTGTGCCAAAATGTTCAGAAACCTTTGAAACGTAAAAATGTTTAATTTGGGTTTTTGGACGATTACAATAACTAACTACTGGAAGTTACTAAATACAATGAAAAAAAATTCACCATGATACGTATATATTAGATTTCAGAAAAACATCTAAAATCACTAAAAATAACATAAACAAAATTATCTGTTTCTGATTTATTTACAAATTATGTTGATATTCAAAATTAAATATTCTGCAAATTACGTCAATTCATGACCTAACATAATAAGATGTGTTTTAATTAACATGTTTGCCAATGCTTCCTAAATATCTTAAAATTTACATGAATTATGTTCATTTATATAATCAAAAAGCACATTCCCACGGACTAAACCTGACATTTATCAAATTTACGTTGCGCTTTCTGAAAAAAATTCACACATTTATCCGGTCGTGTTTTTAAGCGCCTTAAAACATGAGCGTTTGTTTCGCTGTTACAGATATAAAAGTAAATAAAACTCTCATAGAATTTAAACTGAAATATTTTAATGACAATTATGCAATGGACCAGTTTCACAGTCGGCAATATTAATTCCGAAAAATACTAGAGCAGTGTCATAATTATCGCATGTAACAGATCGTGTAGACGAACTCTGATCTAAAATAAAAACCTGGCGCTTCGTTATTATATAATTAGTCAGTCTCTACAGTAGCTTATGTATATGGTAATTTTTGGTTAAGAAATAACGAATAATTGACATTTTATTATAGCCTAAGAGCTAGTAAAGTACATTAAAACGAAGCCTGTATGCTAATATCAAATTAGAAACCTGTTACAATTTATATTGCATTATCAATTA